TGTTATCAAGGGTGCGAACCATGAGTGGTTTGTTCTTATTAAGAAGTGGATTGGGATCCAAAGAACTTTGCCATGCCACAACGAATGAGAGACATGCTTGCAAGATTTAGGATACTATTGGGCTTTCTGTCCTAGGAGAAGATCAATACGATGAAATGTTCCAGCGAGAAGAGGGTTCTTGTTATAAGTATAACGGTAGGGATATAGGGTAAATTAATCTGATATATAAAAACTTTTATTACTACACATACCTTTCTGAGATTCGCATTGCACCTCGTACGTCATTCAATGTAAGTCATTGAAAAAAGATCAGCGTCCAATCAAATCACAGGCGACCCCGAAAAATTAGGAGCCAACTTTTAAAATGTGAAGAACGCAAGGCGACTTTCATGTGCATGTACATGCGTTGACTGTATCCCGTCAATACAATACTAGTCGAATACGTAGACTTCTACAGGGCCTTCTAAGTAATGCGCGCCGGGTATAATTCAAACCTCTGCCCCCATCGGTACCATTACCCCTAAAGCAAATCGTCTCCAGGAGACGAAATTCTCCACGTTGCCCCATAACAACTCCCTTACGTGCAGTCCGGCGGTGGATCCCGCTCTAAATCCCTTGGTTGTTGTCTGGATGGAGAGCACCGAATATTGGTTACTGGTAAAAAGCCAGCCGAAATGCTTTATTCCAAGCGAAGCGTGGATGCATCTTTCCACCGCGAACAACTGAAATCCCCAATGCGGTGGCAACTGAAATGGATTGAGTGATGAGGACTAGAATGAATCTCTCGTTTTACTTTACCAAGGACACCATCACTTGGAAGGCATCCTAACCCCTGCGAGAGACCACTGAAACAGATGCTGCCACAAACATGTGCGGTATACTCACTTTTTGCTGCAATTGATAAAAGTAAAAGACAATTCACACGATCGATCAGAATAGTCCGCGGCAACCCAAAAGAGGCGACCATACATCGTAGCATCAGATCGGGGCTCTAGCTCTAGGTACGCTTGCTGCGATGACACAAAATCAGAAAACTAAAGTTACAAAGTCAAAACATCTTGCAAAGAATCCTAGCTAGAAGTCTACGACCATGAATCTCATTCTCAAGTTTGCAATCGTGGCTCTACTCGTTCCCGTGTCAGAGTCCAGATGGTGGGGATGGGGACAAGGCGACAACGGTGGAGGCGGCAATGGAGGTGGCCACAACAATGGAGGTGGCCACCACAATGGAGGAGGCAATGGAGGGAACGGTGGAGGAGGCAATGGATGTGGAATCGCCTTGGGAACCGGAACTCTGGATGAAGAAGAACGGAGCACAATCATCTTTATGCGGGAGGAAGAAAAGTTTTCCCGCGATGTTTACTTGACTCTCGCTGCATTGTATGATCGTCCCGTTTTTTTCAACATTGCCCGGTCCGAGCAGCATCACATGGATCAGATGGAGGACTTGATCAATGCGTACAACTTGGATGACCCGGTGCTCGACGAGAGCACGGGCGTTTTCCAAAACGGAAATCTGCAGACTTTGTACATTACCTTGGTGGCACGAGGCCGGGAGTCCCTTCTCGAGGCGCTCGAGGTGGGAGCCCTCATTGAAGAAATGGACATTGATGATCTGAACAAGGCCATCCAGGACAGCGACCAGAGTGATCTCGATACAGTGTATGGCTGCCTGAGGCGTGCTTCCTACAACCATCTTCGAGCTTTTGTTCGTAACGTGGAATCTCTGGGAGTCACGTACACCGCACAGCACCTCTCTCAGCCAGATGTTGATGCAATTCTCAACAATTAGATCGGCTATATATTTGCGAGTTTGGATCTAGTTGTATGGTATACACAAGAAAGAAAGAAGCCGACCTCTCAATCAAGACCAGCCAGGCTACCAGTCCATTACGTGATAGTGACACTATAAGGAAACAATCCTGCGAGGCTTCATGTTCGTCCACCACATAAACGTGTAGCTAGATAGACCGTCAGACTCTCCGATCCGCACGCTTTCTCCTTGGGGTGTCGGTAGCAATGGAGCAAGGACAAATAGCTACTGGTGTCGTTGGCTCTCAAAATTTCAAGAGCTGATAAGCGAAATCGAGCAACCATAAATCAACCAACCGACTACTACAGCCAACCTTCCTTGTGTAGAGAAGGCAGCCCTGAAACGGGTCCAAGCATGATTGTGGGCACCCATTGTATTTTGAAGCACAACATACTGCTACGATTTTGGATTAATTTGTTTGATTCATCTAAAAAGTACTGGGACACCCTCACCCGAACTTCAGAACAACCCTTTTTTTCTTTCTCACGAACATGATACCGGTACAACCAAGTGTTTTTGGAGTTGCGACTCACTTTGTGATGGGCTCAACAACCTTTTCATCGATCATTTGCTGGTACATTTCTTGAACGCTGGTTTCCATGGGAATATACTCAATGCCCAAAGATTCCTTGGATTTGGTATTGTCAAAGTGGCACTTGTACCCAACATTGTCCATCACCGACTTTCGGTCCAGCCCTTGACCCATGAATGGAGCAACTACCCACATGATATACTTCATCGCTCCAGGGAGCCTCTTGGTAGCAATAGGATACTCATCCGCATACTTTTTGCCCATGGCCTCAGCAAGTTCACTAATGAAGTATCCTGGTCCACTCAAGATATGGCGTCCAGCAGCACTTTCCAAGTATGCTGCCGCAATATGTGCAGCTGCAACATCACGGATATCCACACAAGACAATCCAAAATCAGGTACTCCCATGGCCATGTTGGGATCATTGCTCCCCAAGGACTTGATGAGCTTGAAAGATTCCGAAGATTCATGGTATTTCAATCCGGGTCCTACAACCAAGCTAGGGTTAATGGTGCAAAGTGTCCAGTGGTTCTGTCCACCGGCAATGGTCCAAGCCTTTTGTTCTGCCAGGGTTTTGCTCAAAGCGTAGGGACCATGCGTCAAGGTGGCCGTGCGATTCCAGGTTTCTTCATTGGTCGGGCTTTCCTCCTTTGTCTCCTTGGCATCCGTGTAGATTGCAACACAGCTGCTAGTAACAACGACACGTCTTACCGAAGGAGTCTTGTTGCATTGAAGAAGGACGTTCTCAGTCCCATGCACAGCTGGTTCCACGAGATCCTTGGTTGGATCCTTGATTTCGCTTGTGAATGGCGAAGCCGTGTGAAAAACAGCGTAACATCCCTGCATGGCCTCTTCAAAGGCTCCTGGAGTAAGCAAATCTGCCTTGAAAAACTTGATAGAGCCACTGGATTTATCAGCCACGTCCTGAAGATACTGGATGCGGTCCTTCTTGGAGGGATCACGAACCGTGGTGTGGACAGTCAATCCCTTATCCAAGAGCTGTGAGATGAGTACCCCAGCCACATATCCAGTTCCACCCGTCACAAGGACAGGGAGGGATTTGTCGATTTGGAGCTCCTTGGTGCAGGGCATGGTGGACTTCTTTGTTGCTTTGGAATGATTTCGAATCGAATCTTTGTCTTCGAGTAAAGTAGATCTAATGGACCGCTTTTCCAAAAGTTTTGTATCTTCTTCTTGTTCCAGCGTTCCAGCTGTGGCAGATGGAAGATCGTGTTGGCTGTATCTTTCTGCGATTAACCTTATTTTTGCATTGTTTACATAACATGCGGGGACGTGTGCATTCATATGCCCCCTGGGTCGTCTCCGTTTCCAGTACTAGTTTAACTTGTCTACTAATACAGGATAATTCCGTCTCCTTGAGACGGCGCACCTTTTGGTTACCCCCTCAGTTGCACTCTGAAATCGATTGGCTCGCGTTTACTGTGTAAATTAGTGTACCCGCACTTCAGTTGCAGAATCAACGGTCATGTGTATCCTTAAGTAACAGGTTCCCTTTCGAAAGATTTAGATTGATTCGTGGAAAAAGAACCGTTAAGTTACTAAGGTTAAAGTTAAACAGTAACGGTACTCGTACTGCATCACTCTCACGCGGCAAGTCCATTATTGAAGGCGCAGCACTGACTTCTCTCCCTCATTGAATTCCTATGGTAAACAGGAGAGAAATACCAGCTTGGCCGACAAGAGTACTCCTCGTGGTTGAATCGATCGACGATCGAATCGATCGCAATGAGGTAAGCCTATTATCAAGAGTGTTAATTGAAAGTACAGCGCTGACTTCTCTCCCTCATTCAATTCCTATGGTAAACAGGAGAGAATTCCGAGCTTGGCCGTCAACAGGTGAGTTGCTTTAATTATTCGAGTCGATCGTTTGCACCTCTGTTATCCAACCTCACTCAAGCCGTCCTTCTCCGGTGCAGATTCGAAAGCCATCCCTCATTGAATCCTATGGACCATGGGATGGCAGTCAGTTCTAGGCCCATGACGGCCAAGTTGGTGCAATTTGAAAAACAATGGTAAGTCTCCGGTCGTCTGCAGTTGAGCACAGAAAACAAAACTCATATCTATTTGTTGTTTTCTCTGCTGCACTGCTGACGGCCGATGAACTACCATTGTCGACGATCGATCGCTCCGGATAACAAGAGGAGAGGCTACCGCTACGGAGGAGGAGGCTCTATTAACTCCAGCCCTACCAACAGCCTGAACGGATCGTCGTCGAGTCATTGAATGGCAACAGCCGTCAAGCGAAGGAGGCTACACGACAACACACAAGCACAGTGGAGAGTGGATCCTCGGACCGGATTCATCCCTCCTTGTTATTTCCTAGTGGTTTGGTGGTGATTTCTGTGTCGATATCCATTTTCCTGCGGGAACAGTGCTCGTAGCGCCTGGCTTGATACTATTCCTGTACTCATTGTAATGGTGAGGTAATGGAGCGTAGCGAGCAAAGCCGAAGCTGAGTGTGTTCGGTACTGTTGCCGATGTAACTATACGGTAGCTAGCTACGATGGCTGGATTGACAATGTTCGGTTGTGCACGTATTCGTGATAAGGATCCAATGCAAGGTACCGGTAATGGAGTGTAGCCAGTAAAGCCGAACCTGAGTGTGTTCGGTACTGTTGCCACTGTCACCGATTGATGTAACTCTACGGTTAATGGCTACAATGGCTGGATTGACAATATTCGGTTGTGCATGTATTCGTCATAAGGATCCAATGCGAGGTACCGGTAACCGTAGCGAGCAAAGCCGAACTTTTGGTACTGTTGCCACTATCGTCGATGTAGATATACCGCAGTCGGCTACAATGGCTGGATTCATAATGTTCGGTTGTGCATGTATTCGTCATAAAGGATCCAATGCAAGATACCGGCAACGGAGTGTAGCCAGAAAGCCGGGAACCTGAGTGTGTCGGTAACTGTTGCACTGGTTCGCTGATGAACTGTACGGTAGCGGGCTACAATTGGCTGGATGAGCAATATTTGGTTTGTGATGTGTTCGTCATAAGGATCCATGCGAGGTAATTCCGAGTGCAGCGAGCAAAGCCGAACCTGAGTGTGTTCGGTAACTGTTGCCACTGTCAAACTGATCGATGTAATGCTCTGCCGGTAGCTGGCTACGATGGCCGGATTGACAATTTTCGGTTTTGTGCATGTATTCGTGATTAAGGATCCAATGCAAGGTACGGTAATGGATGTAGCCAGTAAAGCCGAACCTGAGTGTGTTCCGGGTACTGTTGACACTGTCCCGATCTAACTGTACGGTAGCCGGCACAATGGCTGGATTAACAATATTAGGTTTTGTTGCATGTTATCGTCATAAGGATCAATGCGATGGTAACCGAGTGCGAGCGAGCAAGTCCGAACCTGAGTGTGTTCGGTACTGTTGCCACTGTGACTGATCGATGGAACTGCTAACGGTAGCTGCTACGATGGCTGGATTGACAATGTTTGTTGTGCATGTATTCGTGATAAAGGTACCAATGCAAGGTACCGGTAGAGGAGAGTGTGCCTTGAGTAAAGCAGAAACCTGAGGTTGTTTGGTAACTGTTGCCACAGTTCACGGATTGATGTAACTCTCTGCTATGTCGGCACCAGTACCGTAGCTGGCTACAATGGCTGGATTGCATGTAACTGAGGAAACAGGAGAGAACGCGTGAAAAAAAAGCGAATGGTGAATAGAATCGAATGAATCATTGAGGCTTATATTTAGGTGTTTAGGTTTTGCAATTTGAAGTCAACGTGGTTTATGTGAGGTTGTAAAAGTTTGTGTGATTGTATGTGTTAAGTGGAGGGTTGCTCGCTTCCGCTGGTAGCTTGGGTCTTCTTTTTCCTCTGTTCCCCGCCTTCGTCGGACTTGGGTATTCGGTAATAGGATCTTGATGCAAGTTCCGCAGCTTTCTTCATCCATGTGGAGTGTCATCATTCTGACTATTCGCAGGTGACACTTTGGCCGACGTGGTTCGTGGAACAGGTTGGACGGGAGATGACGTTTTTGTTGCATTGGAACTGGGAATGTTTGCGAATAATATTGGGAGGTCCATATTGAGGATTTAAAGTGAGGGCACGGGGGATTTATACGGGAAGCTACTGATAGGAGACTTACCCCGTTCTCCTGCTGGTGCTTTTCGAGAAGAGTTCCCAAGAAGGCCTCAAAGTTCATGCCGGGGGGTAGTGCAAAACCATGGGGAAGAGGCCAGTGTGGCAGCTTGAAGGCGAACTGGTGTGAGTAGAGGTGGGGGCGGGGGATGGGTGTGCGTGCGATAGTGGCTTGTAATAATGTTGCGACGGGCACCGAGTGATGGCCCGCATGCGACCGAAGTCCGATGCATCAAGGTGTGTTTCGGTGAAATCAACGGACGTAAGAGACACCAAC